GGCGTACTTGAGGCGGAGACGGAATTTTCTAAAAGTTACGCCTCAGGAGAAGAGACGTCTTACAGGCGTCGTTTGTATATTCCGGGCGTCAATTGGCAAGTTAAGATTTCCGGGCATAAAATAGCAGGGAAATAGAAGAAAAAATTACGCCTAAAACTTTCAGGAGAAGTAAAATCCTCTGATTGGTCAATTTAATTATCAATTAAGGGTCATTTCAGATAAGGTGCCTATTTGAGTAAATTTGATTAGGATAAAGCGACCATAATTTGATTTTTAGTTTTACGGATCCGCCGACTCTAAAAATTTGCATTTCAAAAATAAAAAAATAAAATCGGAATTTTTCAATCCGCTCGTGTCAAACCTGTGTTTTATAAAAGCAAATCAGTCAGAAACGTAATCAAAACACATGTGCAGAATGGAAGAAGAAAGTGAGCTGTCAACTTTGATTTCATCGAGAATCTACCAATTCTGAACCCTCCCCATTGCATGTCTCTCTCTATTTTTTAATTGCTGTTTCTATCGATTTCGAAAAAATCCGGATTTTTTTACCTTCTTCGATTTGTAAAATACCGACAAGTCAAAAACAAAAATGGCGGTCATGCAGTGTTTACCGGTACCTAATCTGTTTATTGGCACTGGTAACAGGTAATAATCAAGATGTCAACTGTGCTACCAGATGTAATTGCAGTTGTAATTGCTCATTATCCTCATGAAAAGTGTTTTTTTATCAAAGACAGAGATACCAGATGTGGAAAACAAAACAATTCCTCCATAAATAATACGGTGATCAGGAAAGACATGAACTACAGTACTTTATAATTAATTTAAAGAGGAAATGAAAGCAAGTACATGGTAACTAATAAAGAGTCTGCAGAGGGAACACCGCGGATTATGAGATTCATTGACTTAGCAAATCCTACATCAAAACCTGTATATGAAAGCCCTTGAAACTGCAGAGCAACTTGACGGTACCTCTAGAAGACTTTGAATTTATGTAGCTAAACAGGGTAATAAAGTTTTTTAATTTCAAAATATATTGATATAGTAGATTAGAACAGGACTACAATAATGCTTAGTTTGATATCATATGTACTAAGAGTAAAAAAAGGAATGCAGGATCTAAGAATCCATCTAATTCATTCTCGATAGATTACGCATGTTATTTTTAAAAAATGAATAAAGTTTTAAGTTTGGCTAACAGGTACTTCCAATTCCATCAATTTCAGATCTTTATTAAATTCAGGAAACGGTTCTCTTGCTCCTTATAGTGAGAAAAATCCATTCATCCATCAGTTAAAAGCTGGAAACTCAGACCGTCTGTAGAATATTATTAATTCGTTTAATTGCCAAGTTAAACTTGGATATTTACCCTGAATATTATTCAAATGACACTCAAATGAATGTGCAAACTATACAGTGAAGAACATAATCAAACTTTCATAATTTCAAATATTACATGGTACTCATATTAAACAATGTTTGAAGTAAAAGTTGTAATTTTTATAATGAACAACATTTATACATGTAATGCGTATTAATATTTAAAAAAAAAAACATATCTTGTAAGTTGTTTTTTGTTTTGTTTTATACTACAGTGAAATGTGTGACTTTTTATATGTGAAAAAGGTCGTTGCAAGCTTGATTTTTGTCTCTTTTTTTATCGTCCTCCGACAAGACCTTTCTTGAAAAGGTCCGTAAAACTAAAAATCAAATTATGGTCGCCTAATGTGGAATGATAATAGTTATAACTTGTTGACACTAAAATTACTTAAGATATTTGAGTTTCCTTGCACACATTTCTGAGAAATCATAAATAGTCTGATAGTCAGGCTGCAGTGAGTCTGAGGAACTGTAAACTACTGAGTAAATGAAGAATTGTATTGATAGAGTAACTAAAATTCTTTCAATATGATTACTACAGTGATAAAATGTACCGGTATTGTGAAAAGTTTGTTTAATTCTATATACACACTCAATCTTGGATGTTTTTAAGTGTCCCTTAATACACAAAATTTATGTTATATTTCTATACTATATGTTAATGACCCGACATTATGTTTTCTTACAATTCAAAATGCTGAAGTTGTAAATCATAATCTTAATGTTTTTCTTAGTTAACATTGGTAAATACATAGGTTTTTAGGTCACATAGTATTATATTATAATAAGGACATTCCAGGCGTAATTATATTTTCCACGCGTAATTTCTTTTCCGGGCGTCATTTGTTTTTCCGGGCGTAGCTCATTTGCATTTTTCGCCTCAAATTCCTGCCCATGCAATTCCTCTTGTTTTCCGCTTGGATTACGCCCGTAACCTGTGTATCACCATATATAGAGAGACAAACTGACGCCCGGAATTCACTCTCCAACGCAAGAGAGTTAAGTCTAAATATGGATATTTCTATGCAAATAAGCTTATGAAAATTCATAATTTGTATATTTTATGTACAGAGGAGGTTCAAATTGATTTTCTTATACATACTCAGTACCCACAGTTTATTTTTGCAAGTGTACATTATGACGTCATATTATGACGTCATTGTTCTCTCCCATTCAAGGTATTAAATCATATAAACAAAATCACGTCGGCGCAAGGGCCTATCCTATCTAATTTAAAATAAACAATGTATAATATTAAGGTGAATATTCTTAAAATTAATAAAATTGCTGCACAAATTCTATGCGCTTTCTCAATTGATAAAAATTTGATGAAACTTACCCTGGACAGTGAATTTTTATCCTTGTAAAAACTTAAAACTGCACGAATAGTAAGTAACCAATTGCACTGCCGACATTTGTGCAGCAATATCTTAAATCCTTGGAATATCCTGCGTCTTTTGATACCTTGTTTCTGTAAAACAAAGTAAGGTATGCCCTTGCGCCGAAGCGATTTTGTTGATGTTTCTGATAAACTTGTGTAGTACAGGTCGATGACGTCATAATATGACGTCATAATGTGTACTGGCTATTGCATGTCTTGGGTACCAAGAATGTATTAGAAAACAAGTCTTAGCATTTTCTGTGCGGTATGTAGAGCAATTATGGAATTTAATTAGATATTTCGTATAGAAATTTCCATATGTAGCCTTAACTCACATGCGAAGTACGCCTCATTTCCCCCTATATTCCGGGCGGAACAATTTGTACAGGTAGGATCCGTTACGGCGCCCTACTAGCCTATGGGAAGGCCAGGGAAACAGGCTATTCGATCCCAATGCTAAATAGCGGACAGACTTGTTAAGTCATACAACATATACTTCGGAAAGAAAACACAACTGGCTAAGCTTGCTCGTTTGTTGCCCCCCGCTGAAACTAGAGAATATCAATTTCAGTCTGTCTGTCCGTCCATCTATAGTTCTGTCTGTCTGTAACACTTTCACTACCCCGCAATATTGCGTGAAGTCTTTGAGCTTTTGCAGTGAAATTTTACACAACTGTTTACACCTTATATGGCAATTAGAAGACCCTCTTGATTTCGAGGTCAAAGGTCAAGGTATTAAATTCAGAAATTCTGTCTGTTTAAACACTTGTTTTCGCGCGATATCTTTATATGCCATTGAGCTTTTGCAATGAAATTTTATACCACAACTCCATATGGACATATATATGGCGTAAGGAATACCCCTGTGTACTTTGAGGTTCAAACGTCAATGTCATAAATTCATAAATCTGTGTGACTCTTTGTAAGATTTTTGCCTGATCATATAATTATAATTTTTAAGGTGTGAATCGATTTTATTTTATTAACTCAATAAAGGTATGTTTTTTTTTTCAGTTTTATGTGAGTTATTGGTGTGTGAATCTCAAAGACCTGTCACATAGGCATATTTCATGAAGCACGCTAGCATCATAAATATATTCAATATTTGAATTTCTAGCATCATAAATATATTCAATATTTGAATTTCCCGCTGCCCTATATCGTAATACCTTTACTAACGTCTCTTTTGATTCAGTCTGACGTTAGTAGCACGTTTTTCTGTGTATATTTCTACGCTTGAATATACACTAAAATAGTTTTCGAATCAATTTCACTGTAGGTTTAGTAGAAAACACAGAAAATGTAAATATTGGAAAATTTTTACTCCATTGATTGTGCATATAAATTCCTTAATGGCGTCATCAAAATAAAATGGATATAAAAATGAATATGAAATATTAAAATAAAAAATGAAGTATTTAAGCACATCTATTGATTTATAAAAACGGGTAGATCACGTGATCAAATTTCATAATGGGCTTTATGGTAAATTGTGTATTTATATCCCGATAGATGCGTTATGATCTCACAGTAAAAAAAAGCAGGTGTTAGATCTTGGTTTAAAAACCTGAACGTCATCAATATTCTTTTTTTCAAACAAAAATGTTTAAGATTTAGAAACCGCAAGTTTTTCAGTCTTAAAATAGAAAAACACAGTTTATACCATGTTTTATGCTTGATCATTTGCGCAACAAGTGTTAGCCGATCAGACAACAACAGAGAGATAGTAAATACTATCATCGCTTTGAGCCATGTGTTGGTTTTTCCCTTTGTTGTCTGAAAATAAACCAATATACATATTGTAACTTTTATTGAATTTAAAGGAACTGGGAAGGACAAATACATGAAAAATATGGAGATAACGAACAGTATTCAAGATCAAAAACATCAGAGGTGGGCTCAGGTGCCATGGAGAAGTGAGCATCCCCTGCAGACCGGTCATATAGTATCATATTGTTTCCAAAGCAAAAAAAAAAATATTCCTGACTCTATAACATTGTACCAAATTTTCTGCATATATTTTCTTGCTTTTTAGTAAATGATATCAAAAACATAAAGAACCTTTTATTTCAGTATTTCTAGAGTAAATTAGAAGAGAAGAGAAAAATATGAAAAAAAAAACTTTTATTTTTAGTATATCTAGAGTAGATAACTGATAAAAGAAGAGAAAAAATATGCAAGCTATAAAAGTTGTATTGTATTTGAATAAAAACAATATAAAAGGTTAAAATTAAGAGTACGGAAATTTTGATAGATGTTTTAAATAGTTCAAAAAACAAATATCATAACTTGTTGCAAACATCGTACAAGTTTCATTTCTCCTTAGTCAGGACCTCGTAAGTTTCAACTCTAAATTCTTCTCCCCCGTAAGTAATGTATGCACAGCTGTGATCAACATTAATTTTCCCTGGCACTAAGCTCCCGTGGTGGAAGGCTCTACCAATATAAATTCCGCCAGCCGTCTCGTAGGCATTGCAAGGCACGTACCCGTTAGAAGCCTTCTGCCAATCTAAAAATCCATTACTTGTGAAAGGAAGAACTAAAACATCGTAATAAGGAACGATTTCTTCTTTTCCGTCAAATGGAATATGGGCTCCATTAAGCTCAACTGAGCATTTTCCAGGTGTCATGATGCCATTCATATCGGCCCTGGCTATAAAAAGTGGTGTTCCATCCTTCTCATATCCAGCTCTTATTGCATCTTTTGGGATGGATGATCCGTTGGTTGATTTCCAAACTGCCATTCTAAAAATAAAGCAAACACCTATTACATTCACATCAAGACCAAGGAGGCAAGAAGTAAGATGTTAATATGATAAGGTTATGAACTGTATATTCATTTTTATGATAACATGTACTTGTATAAACAATAGACAACGGAAGGTTAAAATAATGAAAGGAAATGAAAACCTTTTTAAGGAAGTATATCTAATCAGGATTTGAATGCAAGCATTTTATTTCATTTTGTAATCAATGCTAAATACCCCATCATGTTAAACAATCTATAATTTCCCCGTATTATGTGTCTTAATGTTTTAAAATCTAAAAAGGACCAATTTTAGTAACTGGAATAAAAATGAACACCTCAAATGTTATAAAAGAATTATTTTATATAACTATTTCAATAAATTCAAGTAAATCAACTTTCAAACTTTATACAAACCTTACTTCCGCACTTACTTGTGCACAGTTTACCAATCCTTTTAGACAGTTTAAGTTGATTTCATTAATATATTTAGCATTAGACATCTATAAAATATTTTCAATCACAAAAAAATATTAGTTGTCATGTTCACTTACCTTAAAATTTTGATGCTGTGAGGATTTACTGTAAATTCTTGATATAAACTTTGATCTGTGCGTTCCTCTATTTTTATAGTCGACCCCTCTTCTTGATTGGATGATACGTTTAAGTCGATGGTCTAATGATGTTTCTGAACGTCCTTTTAAAACCAGCATGAAACAAAACACTCTTTTAAACAACCTACTTCTATAAAATGCGGAAGAGTAAATGTCTCTACACTTGTATAACTTTGTATAATATCTTACATTTTATCGTCTTATGAATATGAATAAAGTGTCGTACCCCTTATTTATGTAAATATAAAAATTGTATTTAGATGTTTTTACATAACATAAGAAAACGTCTTTTGTTCAATTGATTTTATTGCACTAAGTTTAATTAGCTGTGATATTATATTGATTTTCAGATATCGATCAAAGCAAGTTATTTTCTTAATTGAATATTACAGCCTTTGATATTTTGCTTTTTCTGTCTTTTCCATACCATCGATTTGATTTGAACATATTTTATTGTTAAGATGTTACAACAAAAGGATTGGACACAAGTACTTAATACTTAGAACGTCCTCTCCATACCATTATACTGAGACTGACCTCTAGCCAGTTCTTAGAATTCAAAACACCAATTATAACTTTTACTAATCTATTGAGAAATAACATCATTATAATATAACACACTATGTTGGGTGTAAATGGCCGCAAATTTTGTAGGAGTCCAGGGAGACACCTAGGATACCAAAAACAAACGGGCAATCTAGTGGTCTCGCTTAGATGCGAGTGCCATGAAACCCCATGCCCGACACACGCATAATGGCTAGGCACACAAGCTACACAGCTTTTACACCCTGCCTCTGGCTTGCTACCCGGTTTTATACTTTTAACACCAACCAGCCTGTGGCCTCTCCTACTTTTATATAGGTAGAGAGGATCTGAGCACTGAAATGGTGCAGATCCAAAGCAATTAACATTTTTCTGGGGTTTTTTTAACTTCCATGTTGAAACACAGCCATAAGACACCCCTCATGCTTTGATGCAGAAGGGCAGAGACAAACAGGTTAATCATATAAAAGGCTGATGTCTCCTTTGACCCCGCCACTAACATCGCAATGATGTTCTCCACAACAATTCTGAATCTGGAACCCCCTGTGTGGCAAGATCTGTAGCCCTGCCTATTCTAAAGCTATATGGTCTAAAGTATCCTTGAATGTTATTGAATTGAAGTGATTTTTGAAGCCCATATTTAAATTGGTATCTTGTTACACCCATAAAAAAGGAGCCATTGTTAGAGTGCATCCGTAAAAACTTGAGTACCCACTGTACTGGGCATATATCCGAATTTGGTTGTTTGGAAATATGCAATGTTTCTGTAGAACTTCGCCAAAAAGGGACCTGCAACTCTCCCCAATGAGACTTCTATGAAAATCTTTTGTTCTGAAACTTGTAAGATTCTTTGAAAATCTTGGTGATTTAGGACGAAAATGTTGTAACTTAAATCATTTTGAAAACCTGAATAATTTTGTGTATGGAGAACAATTTTGTCTAATTTAATTTGGATTTTGATCAATTTATAAAGCTGACACGTTGGTAGAACAGCTTGTAGCTGGGTGCTTTCCTTTGCATCTCCTGTAGAGATGCTTGAACCTGCATATGAGGAAAAAACTGCACTTTTTACCCTGTTTGAAATGATAGCAATACTGGGTAGCAGTGGATGTGCTGTTCTCGTTTAAATTTTGTTTCGTATTGTTGAAATGATTTTGATTGCCGAAAGACTTTGAACTTTGGTTAGTCACATACAATAGCAAAAATTCTTGACTTATATTTACATTCAGTGTAATTTTCTTTATTAAATCCATTAGAAATCCACGACGTTCAACTTTCTATAACACACGCGAAACCTTGTCACAGCGCGGTAGAATACACAGAAGGAACTACATGTATTTTCAGTATTTAGGAATACCAAGATGTATATTGTTTTGACTCAATTTCATTTTTAAAAAAAAACTACCCTCGTAAAATTGACATAAAATCTGGCGAAAGTGCATTAAAAACTAATTTGTTATTTTATTTCCTCGCAATGTTTATTTGCGTAATTTAACTTTTCAACGTCACAAACGGCTTTTCGACGTCACGAACGGCTATTACATTTGTCAAGCACGCCAATACTGAAGGGCGCTAAATTCACATTAAACATGAAGGAAATAGACAATTATGATAAAGAAAAATTAGAGAATGTAAATATAAGCATCGAATTCATATTTTGGATGTCTATTTATAATTTTTTATTATCCTGCAAGGAAAGAAAAATAGCTATTTTTAAATAAAGCCATCACGTGACGACGTCGCTACTTTTAGATTGATAAACAAACGTGGCGTAAAGAAAACAAGGTAGGCCGTTTGAGATACTACTCACTTTCGACGTGGATGACAAGCGTCTTACTTAATGGTACTTATCTTTTAAAGATTCAGTTTCAACCATCTTCTCTGTTGTGACGCATATTAACCTTATATTAATAATTGTTGTCAAAATGCCACATATCTCGTTGTCTGTGACTTCCCGTGTTTCTATATATAGGCCTACTGTTTACGCACTTCCTTCATCAATATTCATGAAAAAAATGAATTCTTAATTCCTAGATATTGTTTAATTGTTTTGTAATAACATCGACATCTTAAATACAATTTTGTGGAAAGTATTATTTTCAATCACACTTCATGTGTTTTAAATCATTTATCATTTTGTTTCATAAAAAAATTCGGCGTTAAAATAGCGTATATGACTTTAATTAAATCTACCAGAATCTCTCATTAATTTATGAACTGACTGAAAAATATATTTATTGATTTCTACATTTTGTGACTCATCTCCCCACAGAAGTAAATGACAATCAATAATGTTCAATTTGATATTTGGTTTCGTAAGACACAGTAAATCTCTGAATAGCTTTTCTCTAGCATATTGGTACTTATTGCAGACAAAGAAAAAAAATGATATGGGTCCTCTGGTGTACCAAATGAACAATTAGGACTCTCGATGATGTTTCTTCTATAAAGATCATAATTTAACATGCAATTGTGTCGTAGTTTAGTATGTATGATATTAAGTCGTCTAGTACCATGGGAGAAATAAGAAGGGGGGTCTGCTTGTTTTTTATGTATGTTATTTTTAAAGCTACTAAAAGATATGCTGTTTCTAGTGGTGATACACAGACTATTCCATTGGTTTATTGTATCAGGAAAAAGGATTTCTTGAATATTTCAAGTCTACATCTAGGAATAGTGTAGTCCTCTCTATTGCATGTATCGTACTTTGATTCATTACGTCTTGTTGCGGGAAAAATACTTTTTAAATAATCGAGTACTTAGTTGTGATGTACTTTGAACATAGAATTTAGTTTTGTTACTGTTCGCCTATCTGCAAGAGGTTCCCATCCTGTTTCTAAATATAATGCATCATTTGAAGCGATAATTGGTAACCCTGTAATAATTCTTGCAGCATAAAGCTGCACCATTTCCAATCGTTCAACATCTTTTAAAGAACACCCGTCCCAAACTATAGAACAATATTCAAGTAGCGGTCTCATAAATGTTATGCACATTTTAGATAAAGTTTTTCTACCGATATTGTATTTCAGTTTTTTTTTTTAAGACTTAATCTTTGGTAAGCCTGTTTAACTATATTGTCTATATGATCAGACTAATTAAGATTTTGGCTCAAAATTAAACCCAAATGCTTATAAGAGGTTATGTATTTTAGATTATTGAGATTATTTAGATTATTGAAATTGTAATTTTGGGAGATAATAATTGGATTTTAACGTAAAAAATAATGCTTTCGTTTTAGATGGGTTAAATTTCATAAGCCATTTGGAAGACCACTTGTCCAGAATATCTAAATCATGATTTTAAGTATATTCCATAGTTGCAATATTATAAGAGGAACTTTGCAACGAGTTGTCATCTGCAAACAATCTACACAATGAAATCATGTTTTCTGATACATCATTCACATAAATAAAAAAAAAAGTAAAGGACCAAGAACAGATCCTTGTGGTACACCAGCGTTGAAGTTTCTGTTAGACGAAAAAAATACCTTTGTACATAACTTTCTGTCTTCTATTACATAGGTAACTCTCTATCCAGGTAAGAATATTTTCACATAATCCATAAGTTTTCCATTTAAAAAGTAAATTCTTATGCCGAACTCTGTCGAAAGCATTAGACAGATCACAAAATACCATGCAACAAAATTTTCCTTCGTCGATATTCTTGATTATAGTGTGATAAGTTTCAAGTAGTTGGAAAACGGTTAAGTAACCTGGCAAAAAGACTGCTTGAAATTTGTAGAATAAATTATTCTGATGAAAGTAATTGTACACATGTTTAAAAACAATTAAAAATGTTGAATCATCATTGTTCGTGGGGGACCAATGTTCGTGGCTTTCGTGGGTAACCCTGACCCACGAATCTACATCCCAACGAACGTATATAACTATATACAAACGTTTGGTTTATCATTTGTTAAAACTGATATCGTACAATAACCGCTACCCTTGTGTCCATGTGATCGCGCACAAAAAAGACAATTTGTATGTGGTTATTGACACAAAAACAAAATAAAAAAAAAACAATAAAAGTATTTAGTATCAAAGACATCATTAACTATATACAATAATTTACAATTTTAGATTATAAACATGAACTGTGCATAGTACGTTTTTATGCGAGAAGAAAAATTCGATATTCTAAAAAAAAGGGACCTGTCGTTCTTTCGATAGTAAATGAAGAGAAACTTTACATATTAAATATGAAAAGCTTAAATATTTTTACAGATGCAATTTAAGTAAATAAGAAGTCAATACATTATGTATCTCGTAATTTATAAAGGGAAAGAACATTCTGATAAAGAAACTTTTCAATGTTTAGAAAACAATTCATGCTGATCCCCCCAATCCCCATACACCAACACTTAAACTTATATGTATAGAGCAACCCGGTTCTCCGGGCTGCAATAATATATAATAACAAGAGGCCCATGGGCCT